TTCAGACTTTAAACACCAAACAGAAAGTGGGAAACAATATGCTTCCAAAATTGATGCTTCCAGATTGATGATGGTTTACACTTCACTTCATATCACTTCATATTAATAAACACCCTTCAACAATTTCAGCTAATATTTTCAATAAGTGATTACATATTATTGACAAGTATGATGTACAGGTATGAATGATGATAACTTTCATGAATATTCATTTTGAACATTTTCTGCAAAAGCTTCAGAAATTTCTACTGGAAGAATTTTTCCTGTACATGGGAAGAATTGTTCTGCTATTAAGACTGCAAAAAGTCTCTTTCTAGTACATGTAGAAAGCTTTTTGAACATGTTTGAGGAGGTGGATTTTGCTCCTGCTGTGCTACCTGGGCTGATACCTGGGCGGGGTGTAACATTTGTGTAACGGTTATGACTAAAAAAGATCAGATAGCATCATAAAAGACCCTTGTCTCAGCAAGAACACTTCATATTAGACCTGATTGGTTGTGGTGTTGGAAGCCAACTTTTGAGGACACTTCATGGTCACTTACAGCATGGAGGTAGAAAAAAGGAAAGGAGGGAGGACGTATTTAGCACCCGCCGCGGCCTTTTGTTTTGCGGCGCTAGATCCCGCTGGTTTCTATTGTCCGCCGGCCCGGCGGTACTTCGTTTGATGCCTATGTTCGCCGTGGTCTCTCCCGCCAGAATTCCATATATGGCTATGCAAATGAGCCGAAAATGACATCACTGCCAGCGACGGTAGCCGAGTCCACTCCGAGCAGGGACCGACATACCCGAGTTTCCGAGCATTTCCTTATTTGGGTTGCGTCGTATTGTTGCGCAGAAGTCAGCATCGGGAGCGGAGGGAAATGGCGGATACGCAGATATGTTTATGTTTGTTGTGCGACGAAAAATGGGCGAGTTACTGCGTTTTTTGTGTTTTGTAAAGCTCGAATCGAACATTTTAGAACTGGAACATTTCAACAAATACAATCGTCTAGTATGAATTTGTGTGATTTTTTCTAGATATGCCGATATTTATTCTGGATAGTTGACGATGTTTATGTTCCATTTTCCAAACTTTCGTAACTGGCAATGTAGCGATTTTTCCGGCAAAGTGGACTATTTGTGGCCATATTCTACAAGCTGTGTGCCTCTCTGCTAGCGGAGGAGGTGTGTAGAAATGGATTTTGTGCTCGAAGGCCCACATAGAAACGAGACATTCTTGTAGTAACCGGGACACCCTTGCTTGTTGTTATTCTAGGAAATATTTGAAGTGACACAATTGCGCTCAATTCTTTGGTTGATTGTGGTTACCGGTAGGGTGCATGTTCCTCAAACAAGGATTCAAGCAAGGATTTGACCAAAGATACTTAACCTCCTGTTGTCTCAAGTATCGGGGTATAAAGATACTAGAAAATAACAATGAAGTCTAGTTACTAGAAAATAGTTGCAGTGCCGTGCCGTCCGTCAAGTTTGTCGTCTTTGATACACGCTTCTTACCTCCCTGCATTCATCGAAGTAATCCTCAAATTTGATACAAACTTACTGTAGAATAAAAGTTGCTACACTTATAGTTGTCAATGCCGGGCATGCCGTCTTGTCACTGACATTAATAACAATGGAAAACTCTGGTGTGCCGCTCTGGGGGCTACGCAAATCAGGGCAATTGACAAGTTCGTGCCAATTACAGTTTTGACGCCCGCGGCCAACATCGGACAATAGGCAGAAAGTTTGAGCTCCCTCCTTTCCTTTTTTCTACCTCCATGCTTACAGTATCTGTTTGGCAGGTATAGTCCAATCTGTCCTACTATGGATGGGCAACTCCCCTGGCCAAATCCCTTTGAAACATCATGGGGGTAGAAATTTATCTTTTTTTTTAAAGAATGAAGACTTGGCTAAGTACAGGTCACAACAAAACAAGATGAATGGACATGGTTAACAGATAAACAATAACTCCATGGAAACATTTAAATCAAAAGGAAAACATTTGGAGTTTTAGTGCCATAATCCTGCTATGTATAAGCCTCAGCCGATGTACACTGAAAACATAAAAAGCAAGGAATCGATCCTCAATTTGCAACATGAACTTGCTTTCAATGCAAGGAGTTGTACAATGCTTTAGGAAATTCATGTTACATTTTCTTTTGTAACTATTCTGTTTCTGCACCTTTGTCATGCGGGTCATACCTCAGGTCACCTATTGTTCCAGGCATGCAAATGACCACTGTCCAATTATCAAATTAGAGAGTCTGGTCGGGCTACCCTGACATGGGTGCACTGGCACTGGCTCAATAGCCCGAAAAAATATCCTATCAGAAAATCTCATGACATTGTAATGACAGTGTCAGATGGCCTGGGTTCACACGCTGAGGACCATGTCTTGGCCAAATCTTTCTATCCCACAACTAGTTTGTAGTGTCATGATTAGATTAGATTTAGATTATGAACAAGAAATTAATGATGAGAATCCTAGTTTTATTTTTTAAGATAGTCGGTCATCT